AGCGACCTGGAAGGGGAGCCGGTGGAAAAATGAGGGAGCTGTATAGACCAAACAGATGATTGAGCCATTCCCTTGGTATAAATCTTTCTCTGGTGTGGCACTGTGGTATAATCACTCAACTATAAGATTGGTTTGAACTGCAAAGTCAGCAATTCAAAGTTACCAGCTGCTCCTCCGAAACCCTATGCAGGAGTCAGAATGGCACTTAGCAACAAACATTAGTTCCTTCCTTCACCATCTTAGGAGCTGAGACTGTGAAAGAATCTCCTGGATTAAAGAATGGGATGAGGAGGGCATGCTCAAGACCCCTGGTCACGAGTCATGCTTCCCAGGCTGTGAATTCGCAGCTGATGCTGATAGGTTCAGTTCCTCACTATGATTTGTGTTCGAAGTGTTGTGCTTGGTTTCACAAATCTGTATCTGCTGAGGAGAGATGGAGGAGACACAGGCCAGACAGGGGCCATATAGTACCCTTGTTACATTCATTCATTTTGTACATTAATTTTGAGCACTTACTCTGTGCTGAACACTTAGCTCAATACTGAGGATACAAGAGTAATGCTGCCCTCGTGAAACTTCCAAAAGGGGAGAGGAAGAGTTCCTGGCTGGTGCAAACAGTTATATGGTCAGCTGCTGACCAAAAGGTTGAGGGTTTGAATCTACCCAGAAGTACTTCAGAAGAAAGTCCTGGAGATCTACTTCTGGCAGATCACAGTCATTGAAAACCTGGGGGAGCAAAGTGCTATTTTGACACACCTGGGACTATGAATCACAATCAACTCACTGGCAATTGGTTTGGATATTTTGATTAGGGGGAATGGAGAGACAAATTTTACGCAAATAATTCTTCAAATTCAAAATGACACGTTGTGGTAGATGTGATGAGGGAAACGTACTGGGTAGGGAGCTGGGGTGAGAGAGCAGAGGAATCTGTTCTCCGCCAGGTTAGAGTCAGTCCTAGTCACTCAGTTCATCAGCCCCTGCGTGGACCTCCCTCCCAAGTTCTTCTTCACTGTGGTTCAGGGAGAGGGACTTGCCCTTTCTTATCATTGAGTGGGGACACGCTCTCAAGGTGCTTTGAGATGGAATGTCCTTCTTCCTTCTTCTACCTCTCTTAATGCGAGTGCTCCCTAGCTCCTCTCTACCCCAACGGTTATAATCCCATGGGGGTTCAGAAAGAGAGAGCCTGCAGTTCGTCCTCCCTCCTTGTGGCACCGATTAAAGCCCAGAGGCTGGGATGGGGGTCGGGTGGGGGAGAAACACCATTGGCTTCCTGGGTTGGTCAGGGTTGTTTGTCAGCGTGGCTGGGCCACAATTCTCTGGTTTGGCTGCTATGCTGTACTCAGGCTGCAAGATGAGATAGAATATAATGTAATCACATCTCAGAGGAGATCTGCTATCAGCAGCCAATTAGTTGAAAGAGTTTCCTCAGGGCTGGGGCCTACATTGATTATATATGGACATTTGGGCAAAGCTCACTAGCTTTTTGCTTACTCTATAAGCAGAATCTGGCTCTCATCATCTGACCTCTGGTTCTTGGGTCTTGAATCAGTAGCCTGGTGAATTACCCAACAATCTTGGATTCCTCGGACTCTGCAGCTGTGGGCCATCAGCCTGCTGTCTTTTCTGCCAATCTTGGAGTTGTCAACCCCAGTGGACTTGAGACTTGCCAGCCTCTGCAACCTCATGTGCCGTTTTGTTGAGATAAATCTCTCTGTATTACATGGTGTTGTTAAGTGCCATCAAGTAAGTCATTTGCAACTCATAGCCACCCTGTATAGGGTTTCTGTGGAGCGGCTGTTGGATTTGAACTGCCAGCCTTGTGGTCTGTAGTCCAGTGCTGATCCTACAGCACTATACCAGGAATCGAATCGTAAGTCATCTATCTATCTATCTATCTATCTATCTATCTATCTATCTATCTATAGACATATACACAGAAGTTTCGTTGCTTTTGCATCTCTAAGAGAGTTGGCCTAACCCACCTCCCAATCACATTTGCATAAGATCTCTGTTGTTGGAGCTGAGACCAGGATGGAGATCTCATTCCCAGTACTGGCCTCAGTGTCCCTTCCCAACTGGTCTCTCCACCCTCCACTTCTCCTCTGTCCCTCTGCTATGTGAACAGACTATTCTTCTTGAACATGTCTCTGATCATGTCTCCCTGCACAAGCATCCCCATTGGTCCAGCACCATCTATCCAGCAAGAACTGGACAAACCCCTTGGGTCCTACCAAAGCCCTTCCTTATCCTTAGGATCAGTCAGTGCTTCTCAAACAAGTGTGCATCTGGAACACCAGGAAAACTTGTTAAAATGCAGATTCATGGGCTTCACCCCTAAAGATTCTGATTCAAGAGGTATAGAGTGGTTCCCCACCTCCCATCCACTCACCTGTCTGTTTGTCCTACCGTGGCGGCTCTCATGTTGCTGTGGACGGAATGCGGCAATCACTGATCAATATCATTAATATCACATTCAAGTAAAATTTTGCTGAAGATAACTAAAAAATGGCTGCAACGGACACCAACAAGAAACTGCCAGAAATTAAAACTGGATTCAGCAGAGGATGTGGAACTAGGGATATCATTGCCAACATCAGATGGATCTTGTTGAAAGCAGAAAATACCAGAGAGATGTTTATTTGTGCTTTATTTACTATGCAAAGGCTTATGGATCATGACAAGCTATGAATAACATTGCAAAGAATAGGTATTCTGGAACACTTAATTGTGCTCATGAGAAACCTGAACATAGACCAAGAGGCAGCTTTTCAAACAGAGCAATGGAACACTGAATGGTTTAAAATCAGGAAGGGAGTGAGTTAGGGTTGTATTCTTTCACCATACTTACTCAATTTGAATGCTGAGCAAATAGTCCAAGAAGCTGAATTATATGAAGAACAAATGTGCCATCAGGATTGGAGGAAGACTCGTTAACAACCTGTGATATACAGATGATACAACCTTCCTTTCTGGAAGTGAAAAGGACTTAAAAGCACTCACTGATGAAGCTCAAAGACCACAGCCTTCAGTATAGATTGTACTTCAATGTAAAGAAAACAAAAATCTTCACCACTAGACCAATAAATAACATCATTATAAATAGAGAAAAGATTGAAGTTGTCAAAGACTTTATTTTGCTTGGATCCACCACCAACATTCATGGAAACAACAGTCAAGAAAGCAAACATTTACTTTAGGCAAATCTGTTGCACAAAACCTATTTCAAGTGTTCAAGAGCAAAAATGTCAATTTGAAGACTAAAGTTTGTCTGACCCAAGTGACAGTATTTTCAATAGTCTCATGCATGTGATAGTTGGCTAATGAATAAGGAAGACCTTAGAAGAATTGATGGTTGAGTTATGGTGTTGGAGAAGAATACTGAATGCATCATGGACTGCCAGAAGAACCAACAAATCTGGAAGAAGTGCAGCCAGAACGCTCCTAAGAAGCCAGGATGGTAAGACTTCATCTCTTATACTTTGAACATATTATCAGGAGATACCAATCCCTGGACCAGGACATGATGTTAGGTAAAGTGGAGGGTCAGCAAAAAAGAGGAGGACCCCAGTGGGAAGGATGGACCCAGATGCAGTAGCAATGGGCTCAAGGGTAACACATGTGAGGATGGGACAGGATCGAGCAGTGTTTCGCTTGGTTGTGCATAGGGTCGCTTTGAGTTGGAACTGACTTGATGGCACCTAACAACAACAAAAGGTGTGGTTCAAGAAGTTGCATTTCTAACAAGCTTCCAGGTGGCACTGGTGCTGCCAGCCCATGGGCCACATCATTAGCAGCACTGGTGAAGGTACGTTCCCCAGGACTCTCCATGCACCCTCACTCCACCAAAGGGCCTGCGCTCTTTCACCTCCCCACCCCGTGCATACACTTGAGCAAGGAAACCATTGCTGCCAAGTCTGACACTGGGGTCAAAGCCTGGGCCCTTCCAACTCAGAATAAAGTTAAGAGGTTGTGTTGCTGTTTCAAGGGAAAACCTTATAGGAATTTGAACCAAAGCTGGAAGGACTCTAGTCTAAAGCATTATGTTGTTGTTGTGAAGTGCCTTCGAGTCGGTTCCAACCCATAGCGACCCTGTACAGGGTTTCCAAGGAGTAGCTGGTGAGCTTGAACCGCTGACCTTGCAGTTCAACTGGCTTTGCAGTCTGGCGCATTAACCCACAGTGCCACACCAGAACTACAAAGCATCATTGGGCAGATCAGTCTTTAGGTAAACACACAGGTCTTTGGGCCCCTCCCGAAGAGGCAGATCCCCTGGAAGATATGGGTCACTCCTCAGACTATCACTGTTGAAATTGTAACCCAAATGGGGATGTGCCTTGTCCAAGGACACACAGTAAGTTAGAGGAAGGGCCAGGCAAGAACCCAAGTACCCTTCAGGGCAGCTGTGTGAGCCCTTTTTGGAACCTAAAGGAGCCCTCAGCATTCCCTGACTCCTTCTCACCACCCTGCTTTCCTGTGCCCTGGCTGCACCCCAGCCTTTCCATCTAGGGCTGAAATGAAGCCCCAGGGAACTATAAAACTTGGAGAAGGGAAAAGAGTAGGGAAAGGGTCGGGGAAGTAAGGAAAAGACATACAAAGGTTTGCAGGCTGCCTGGGGGAAAAAAAAAAAAAAAGCAAAGTTGTCCAGGAAGCTGGAGGTGGGGCTTCTGCCGGGCACAAGTGTACCCCAGTCCCTCCCCCCGGAACCAGTGAGGGCTGGCTGACTGTAACCACGGAAACCACAAACCCTCCTTCATTAATTACCCCAAAGGAATCAGCCCTGGCTGCTTGCTGTAACTAACTGGCTTGTGTTTCAGCACCGAAGGGCTGCAGTGCACAGGGCTGGGCTGGCCTCCCAGACCTGCCCTCACAGGACCACTCCAGGGGCCTTAACACCAGCAGGGCGCACGTGAGACTAACAGCTGGAAGAGTTGGCCTCACACCTTAGGATCCTGGCTGGGGGCAGGGTTCCTGCAATCCAAATTGACAGCTTGAGTTGGAGTTCCCCGACCCCCATGTCACCTGGTGGAGAAAAATTGGACCCCATCCCGGATAGCTTCCTCCTGCAGCCGCCAGTCTTCCATCCGGTGAGCAGCATTGTGACCTTGGGGATCCACAATCCCAGTGAGGGCTGGAGAGGGCCTTGTCTTACTCTCTCCTGAGTTTAGCAAGGTGACTTACCACTTAATTCACACAGGGGGGGTTTGAATGTCTGCTAGCCTCCTGGTGGTGGTGATTATGTGCCGTGGAGTCGGTTCTGACTCACAGTGACCCTGAACAGGGTTTCCGAGGCTGTAAATCTTTACGGGAGCAGAAAGCCTCATCTTTCTCCCGTGGAGCAGCTGGTAGTTTCCAACTGCTGACCTTAAGGTTTGCAGCCTGATTCGTAACCACTACGCTACCAGAGCTCCTGGTTTCCTAGGGTCCTTGAAAACAGAGGAGCCTGGTGAGGCCATCCTGAAGGGATGGCTGGCTCTCCAGAAGGCCTGGGGCACACAGGTCAGTGTTACTGGGAAGTGCGTGGGACATTGATTACCTAGGAGGGGCAATCTCATCTGTAGCTTTGAAGGAAGGGCTAGCTCAGAGATTCCCATTTGGGGATGATCAGGTTGTTTCCTCTCTCTCTCTCCTACTCAGCACTCAGGCAGATTTACAGAAGATTGAACTCCCCGAAGTGTGTCCAGTGGTGCTGTGGGTTAAGCACTAGGCTACGAACTGCAAGGTCAGTAGTTCAAATCTACCAGCTGCTCCACAGAAGGAAGATGAGGCTGTCTGCTCCTGTAAGGCTTTGCTCTTGGAAACCCTATTCCAGCCGATGACGGTTTGCTGGTGGTGTGCCATGGAGTCAGTTCTGATTCATAGCCACCCTGCAGAGCAGTCCTGAAGCTATAAATCTTTACAGGAGCAGAAAGCCTCATCTTTCTCCCTCAGAACCGCTGGTAGTTTAGAACTACTAACCTTGAGATTAGAAGCCCGGCGCGTAACCAGCACGCTTCCATAGGGTCATTATGCTTTAGACTCTACTGGATGGTAGTGGGTTTGGAACTCCCACGAGGACCCTCCCCCCCTCCCCCCCAAGGGCTGTGGCTGACCTGAGGAACACTATCCTTTTGTCTTCACTTGGGCCCCACGTCCTGGAGAGCTGAATCCATTCAGTTCATGATTCAGTTAATTCCCAGGCCTGAACTGCTGAGCGTGACTAAGCTGTGGGCTCCAACAGGTAGCGAGTGGGTCTCCTGCAGCCCCTAAGTGTTCAACTGATGGGGGAGGCAGCTGTGCTAGTTATGTACGATGGCTCTTTGTGTTAGGCTGGGTGCTTCCTCCAGGAGGGCAGTGCTGGGGGGGGGGGTGTCTCTTCCTGGTCTTTCGAGGTCATTTGGGTTTCTGAAGACTGCTGGGAGTTGGAGACGGACATGGGAAGGCACATACCTGCTGTACTGTTCTCGTATATCCTGCAAATATCTATTTGGAACCCACCTTGTGACAGGCTGGGCACTGAACGTACAGAAGGGCAAGAGAGATTTCAATTGAGAGACTGTGGCCTCCCAGGGTGAGCAGCCAGCCACACATCTCACGCTAAGCCAGTGAGTGGGCCAGGAAGCAAGCCAGTCATGGAAGCCAAGTGTTCTGGGAGCACAAAGGGGTAAGGGAGGAATCCAGACACAGAGAGGATGATGCTTAGAGAAGGTGTTAGAGAAAATGGCAGAAGCTTTAAAGACAAGGTGGATTTTATGAGGTGGAGGTAGAGGGCAAGGGAAAGCCATTCAGTAGGAAGGCCTTACAAAAGGATACAGGGTGTTTTAGGAACATCAGCAGCTCCTATGTGGAGAAAGGGGAGCCCGGGAAGATAGTCAGGGATCATTGTTAGGTATCAGGGCTAACTCTCCATTTCTACCTTGTCTAAGTTCTGTCTTCTCATTCCCAGAAGCCATGGTAGCAGGCTCCTGGGAGCCGGGATGGCACCCAGTGAATAGGGAGCAGCATTAGGGACAAAGCAAGTTATCAAGGCCTAGAAGTCAGGCGTGGGTCTGGGCTGGTGTTCCAAGGGGACAGTGGAGTTGAACTTGACTTCTCCATGCGGTAGCTTTGACAGGTGGTGATCCAGGAAAGGAGAGTAAGTGGGAGAGAACATTTCAGAGTAAGATAATTTTACCCCCTAAGGACACTTTCTAAGGAGCTCTGGTAGCGTAGTGGTTATAAATCAGGCTGTGAACCTCAAGGTCAACAGTTTGAAACTACCAGCTGTTCTGTGGGAGAAAGATGAGGCTTTCTGCTCCCGTAAAGTTTATAGCCTCGGAAACCCTGTACAGGGTCGCTATGAGTCAGAACCGACTCCACGGCACATAACAACAACAACAACAAAAGACACTTTCTGGGGAAAAGTTGAGTTTTCTTGTACATCTTTGTCTCCCTCTCCTCCTTCACACGGCATAGGGGTCCCTAGACCCTTTCTCCAGCCCTACATGGGTGGTGTTTCTTCCCTTGCTCAGGTGATTCCTTATGTCACCACAATTTTTGGTGGTCTGCACACTGGCAAGATGGTCATGCTGCAGGGAGTAGTCCCCCAACATGCACGCAGGTAAGGGGCATGGCCTGTGGGAATGTTGGATCTCATGTCCAAGCTGGCCTTCCTCTGTCTTCAGGGTTGTTTTAGTGGTAGGGAGGGTATCCAACCAAAGTGACCATTGGAGACCCCGATCTACTACCAGGTTCCAAGTGGACTTTCAGTGCGGCTGCAGCCTGCAGCCCCGGCCAGATATCGCCATCCACTTCAATCCTCGCTTCCATACCACTAAGCCTCACGTCATCTGCAACACACTACATGGTGGACGCTGGCAAGCAGAGGCCCGCTGGCCTGGCCTGGCCCTCCAAAGAGAGGCCAGCTTCCTCATCCTCTTTCTCTTTGGGAATGAGGCTATGAAGGTGAGTGGTAGGGATGGACATTGGGTTGATCTAGAATGTGTGTTCTTCCACCTCCGCTTTGCTCTGTCAAATTCCCCATGCACTGTGCTGTGTGGCATTGGTGGAAAGGGCGGGTATTGAGAGGAACTGCTAAGAAGAGCTCCAAGTCACTGTTGAGTGCCGTTACAGGCTGTCCTGGACTAACCTAATCTGGGATGCCTGGAGGCAAGAAAGCTCCATAGTGTCTGGCCATAGAGAGGGCATCAAGGCCTAGTAAGCACTTAGAGAAAAATACCAACTGTCTTTATGTTGATTCCAACTTATGGCAACACCATGTGCACCCATTATATGCCAGGTGCTGGCTGAAACCCTTTGAATATATCAGCTCATTTAACCCTTACAAGAGCCCCATGAGGGTTCAGGGACAGAGAGAGAGGACTTGACCTCACAGCTTTGACTTCTGATACAAACTCCTGCTGGAAAGAAAGATGTCGGGCTCTGCAGACTTCTCCAGTAGGGAAGGCACTAGTGGGGAGAGCCAACAGCCTCGGGAGGATCCTGGGGCACATAGGGGAGTGTTGTGGGATATGGGGTAACCACCGAGCCTCCTGAGCCTCAGTTTCCTCACCTGCAGCTGCTGCGTGCAGGTCTGCTGAGGTGGTGGGATGAGGGGATGCATGGAGAAGTACTCGGTCAGGGGCAGAGAGGGGCACAGAAAGGGGGCTGGTTCCAAGGCCAGCTCTGCCACCTGCCAGCTCTGTAGCCTTGGGAAGGTTACTTAAGCTCATCTGTAAAATGTACCTACTTCATAGAGTTTTTGTGAAGTCAAATGACTTTTGACAGGTTGAAGAGCTCACAAGTGCTTAGCAGGTTACTATGAGTTGTCAATATTATCTGCTATTGAGCTAGCCCGTTTCTCTCTCCAGGTGAGCGTGAATGGAAAACACTTTCTCCACTATCCCTACCGGCTCCCACTGTCCCGGGTGGACACCTTGGGCATATTTGGTGACATCTTGGTGAAGGCCGTTGGATTCCTGAACATCAACGTAAGTTCTTCTGGTGTCATCGCTTGGGTGGTACCAGGTTCCAATGTCTTCAGCACTTAGACAGGCCTGGAGACTCGCTCCTCTTCCCCAGAATAAGAGGAAGACAATGAAGAGACTTCCCATAGGAATTAGTAGGAGCAGGGATGAGAGGGTGGTGATGAAAAGGGGCCCCTGAAATCTGTGCACACATGTGTGTGTGTGTGTGGGGGGCGAACACTGAAGAGCAGTGGCTAGGTAAATGACAGAACCAATGAGGCCAGACAGTCTGCAGCCGGTTAGATCATTCCCACTCGAGGAGCTTGTTAAAAAGGTCGATTTCCAGTCAATGTAACCTACCACATCACTACAGGAGTCACATGATCATCTCAATCGATGTAGAAAGGGCATTCGATACAGTCCAACACCCATTCCTGATGTAAACTCTCAGCAAAATAAGAATAAAAGGGAAATTCCTCAATATCACACACTTATACAAAACCAACAGTCAACATTTTCCTCAATGGAGAGAGACCTGAATCATTCCCCTTGAGACCAGGAACCAGACAAGGATGCACTGTTATTCAACATTGTACTGTAAGTCTTAGCTAGAGCAATAAGGCATGAAAACAAAATAAAGGCCATTCAAATTAGTAAGGAAGAGGTAAAACTCTATTTGTAGATGGTATGTTCCTATACATAGAAATTCCCAAAGATTCTACAAGAAAACTACTGGAACTAATAGAAGAATTCAGCAAAGCAAAAGAATACAAGATTAACATACAAAAAATCAGTTGGAATCTTCTAGACCAATAGAGAGAATGTCGAAGAGTCAATCAGGAACCCAATACCATTTACAATAACCCTCAGAAAGAAAAAAATAGGAGTAAATCAGGGTGTAAAAAACTTATACAAAGAAAACTATAAAATACTACTGGAAGAAGCCAAAAGAGACTTACATAAATGGAAAACCATGCCATGCCCATGGTTAAGAAGACTTAACATTATGCAAATGTCAATGCTATCCAAAGTAATCTATGGATGTAATGCAATCATGGAGTCCTGGTGTGGTGCTGTGGGCTAATGTGCCAGACTGCAAAGTCTTTTGAACCACAAGGTTAGTGGGACAAGCTCACCAGCTGCTCCTTGGAAACCCTACACAGGGTCACTATGGGTCAGAATTGACTCGATGGCACTTAACAACGACAATAATGCAATCAAGTTCCAAATTCCAACAGCATTCTTTAGCGAGATGGAAAAACTGATCACCAAATTTATATGGAAAGAAAGAGGCCTCAGACAAGGAAAGCATTTATTGACGAAGAACAAATTAGGAGGCCTTGCATTTTCTGATCTTTGAGCCTACTTTACAGCTTGTTGTTGTTGTTGTTGTTAAGTGCCATTGAGTCGGTTCCGACCCACAGCGACCCTGTATAGGGTTTACGAGTTGCAGCTGGTGAGCTTGAACTGCGGAGCTTGCAGTTAAACCGATTTTGCAGTCAGCGCATTAACCCACAGCACCACACCAGGACTCCACTATACAGAGATAGGGGTCAAAACAGCTACCAATGCAATGACATACATAGAGACCAATGGAGCAGAATTGGGAATCCAGACATAAATTCATCTACCTATAGACGGTGGATCTTCAACAAAAAAGCCAAATTCATCAAATGGGGAAAAGATAGCCTCTTTAACAAATGGCACTGCTAAAACTGGATATCGATTTGTCAAAAACTGAAACAGAACCCATCCCTCACACCATACACAAAAACTAACTTAACATGGGTCAAAGATGTAAATATACAGCCCCAATGAAAAGAATTCTAGAATAACAAATATAACTAAAAATGCACAAACACAAGATGAAGTCTATAAATGGGGCCTCCCAAAAATTACATGTTTATGCTCACCAGAAGACTTTTCTAAAAGGATAAGAAGAAAACCTAAAGACTGTGGAATTTTTTTTTTTGGTTATGACATCTGACAAGGATATAATTTCTAGAATTTATGAGAAAACTTCAATACCTCAACAACAAAAAGACAATTCAATTTAAAAAATGGGCAAAGGATCTGAACAAAATTTTCATCAAAGAAGACATTCAGGTGACTAATAAACATATGAAGAAACCTTAATGATCATTAGCCAATAACAAGATGCAAATCAAAACTACAATAGATAAACAAACTCTAATACATATACAGAATGGAATATTACCCTATGAGACAAGTATTATATCAGACCACTTCTATACAAAGTCCAGAAAAGTTTCACATACAGAAATAAACATTCTTTAAAGATACCAGAGTTGGGAGAGTACGAAAGGTTTGTTGTTGTTGTTAAGTGTTGTTGAGTCAGTCCCGACCCTGTGTAGGGTTTTTGAGGAGCAGCTGGTGGGTTTGAACTGCAGCTGGTGGGTTTGAACTTTTTTGTTGTTGAGGTATTGAAGTTTTCTATAAATTCTAGAAATTATACCCTTGTCAGACATCATAACTACAAGGGTTCGCAGTCCAGTGCTGATCCTACAGTGACACACAAGAGGACAGACATGTATGAACTTGGGTGAAGGGAAAATTAATATACAATAAGGGAGAGGTCAGCACAAAATGATCAAGGCAAAGGTAGACATGGAGGAAGCACAAGAGTCAAAGGTAATGAAGGTCAATAATATTCCATACACAATCATGCAGTAACAGTAATAACATAATCTATGAATGGATATCTACACAGACAGGCACGCTGAACAGGTGTGAGAAGGTAAGTGGGACTATGCTGTTGCTAAAGACCGTTGAGTCGATTTCAACTCATGGCGACCCTGTATACGGTTTCCGAGGGGCAGCTGGTGGGTTTGAACTGCTGACCTTGTGGTTCACAGTCCAGTGAGACTATACCTACAAATATATGAATTAATGGGTTTGTCAGAGGGTATTTCTACATATTTAATTATATGTGCTGCAAATACATCATTAATATAATAGAGCATTCAGAGGACAAAGTCATGAAAACTTCTTAGCCATAACCAAACATTTAAGTGTTGGGCCTGGGACTCAAGACCATAGTCTCCAGGGAAACGGAGGTCAATGAACATAACATAGTCCACAAGATAGTGTTCTAGATCCTCCTTCAATGATTAACATAACATAGTACACAAGATAATGTTCTAGATCCTCCTTCAATGATTAGCATAACATAGTACACAAGATAATGTTCTAGATCCTCCTTCAATGATTAACATAACATAGTACACAAGATAATGTTCTAGATCCTCCTTCAATGATTAACATAACATAGTACACAAGATAATGTTCTAGACCCTCCTTCAGTGATTAGCACCTGGGATCTTAAAAGCTTGTGAGTGGTCTTCTAAGGCATAACTTGTGGCTCTCTCCCCATCTGAAGCAGAATGAAGAAAATTAAAGAAATAATTAGTCTAAAGGACCAATGGACCACGTGAACCTCTGGTTCCATGACCCTGAGACCAGAAGAACTAGATGATGTCCGACTACCACTGCCAACTGCTCAGGCTCTGAAAGGGGTTACAGTAAGAGATGGTCCTGAATAGAGTGGAAGAACAGTGTACAACGTAACTCAAAATAAAAAAGACGAGGCTTTCTGGTCTGTTAGAGACTGGTGGAACCCATTCTAGCCTGGAACTGAACTCATTCCCATGGCTCAACTTTCAACCAAAAAATAGACAGTCCTAGAAGGGGAACTAGTCCCAGGGAGTCAGGAATGCCTCAGAGCAATCAACCATACAAGATCAAAAGGGCAGTATTTGTCCAGGCATAAAGGAGCTCTGGTAGCGTAGTGGTTACGAATCGGGCTGCGAACCTTAAGGTCAGCAGTTCGAAACTACCAGCTGCTCCGCGGGAGAAAGATGAGGCTTTCTACTCCTGTAAAGATTTACACCCTCGGAAACCCTATACAGGGTCGCTATGGGTCGGAACCGACTCGATGGCACATAACAACAACAACAAAGTCCAGAAGGCGGAAAGGGATAGAAACAAAGGGTAAACACAGGGAGGAAGTAGGAAGTGTGCTGTCACTTTGTGGGAATTGCAACCAATGTCACTAAACAAAATATATATTAATTGTTGAATGGAAAACCAATTTGCTCTGTAAACTTTCACCCATATAATAATAATAATAATAAGTTTAAGGGAAAAAACACCATATGATGAGATACCATCTCGCTCTGACAATAACGGCACTAAAGCCCACCAGGACCCCAAAAATGACAAATGTTGGTGAAGTTGTAGAGAGATTGGAACACTGCTGGTGGGAATGTCAAATGGTACAACTACTATGAAAAACAATATGGCTTTTTTTCCTTAAAAGGCTAGAGACAGAAGTGTCATGTTGTTAAGTGCTGTCAAGTTGGCTCCAACTCAACTGGTCACTCCTACGGATGTACCCTAGAGAAATATGAGCAGTGACATGAATAGACATATGCAGCATTCACAGCAGCATTATTCATAATAGTCAAAGGAGGGAATCAACCTAAGGACCTATGAGTGGCTGAAAGAATCAACAAACACACAATATTACAGACACACAATGGAATATTATGCAATGACAAAGAACAACAATGAATCCATGGAACATCTCACAACATGGATGAATCTAGAGGGCATCATGCTGAGTGAAATAAGTCAATCCCCAAAAGACAAATATTGGATAAGAACACTACTTAAAAAAATAAAAACAAAAACAAGAGAAGGTTTATACAAAGAAATATACAAATAAACATTCTTTGATGGTTACCAGGGATGCTGGAGGAGGGAGTGAAAACTAGTAACCAGAGAGAAGCCACGTGTTAATAATGGTGAGGGGAAGGGTGATATACGATATAGGGCAAGTCAGCACAACATGATCCAGACAGAGAAAGACACTGAATGGAACACAAGAAAAAAAGGCAACAATGGTTACTGTGGATAAGAACCATCTCAACGGCACCTAACAACAACAAAGTCCTGGTGTGGCACTAGAGGATAGCATGGAACTGCTAATCACAAGGCTGCCA